ATGTGGGGCTCCATCTCACGACCCTGAGATCATGACCTGAGCCAAAGACAGACACTTAACCTACTGAACCACCCAGGTACCCTATTTATCAGTTTTAATATCTAGTACATTAAATATCACAGATATAATGCACAAAAAATTCTTTGGTAATCTCGGTAATTTTTAATTGCATAAAGGGGGGCCCCTGGGTGGCTCAGTCGTTAAGCGTCTGGCTGGGGTCATGGTCCCGGGGTCCTGGGATCAAGCCCCACATTGGGCTCCCTGCTCGGCGGGAGGCCTGCTTCTCCCTCTCCCCCTCGCCCTGTTTGTGTTCCCTCTCTCGCTGTCTCTGTCAAAAAATAAATAAAATCTTAAAAAAAAAAATTGCATAAAGGGATCCTGAGACCAAAAACTTTGAGAACGACCGCCAAAGTTTTATTCTGCCATACATCTAATACGGTAAAAAACTCTGCAGCCATTGAAATGGTGCATGAAAACATATTTACTAAATGGGTATGATCCCGTATTTAATTAAAATTGTGTGTGTGTGTGTGTGTACCCATAAGAAAAATGTATGGAAGGATGCCTATCAGTTAATGCTAATTGTTTCTAGGTGGTAAGATTGTGGAGATATTTATTTTCTTCTCTATTCCTTTTCTATATGTACTAGCTAAAATTTTTTTAGTGTGGTAAAAAATATCACATAAAATTCACCATTTCAACTGTCTTCAAGTGTACAGTCCAGTAGTGCTAAATATATTCACATTGTTGTGAACCAGATTTCCAGAACCTTTCCATCTTTTTTTTAAAAAGATTTTATTTATTTATTTGACAGAGAGAGACACAGCGAGAGAAGGAACACAAGCAGGGGGAGTGGGAGAGGGAGCAGCAGGCTTCCCACGGAGCAGGGACCCCGATGTGGGACTTGATCCCAGGACCCTGAGATCACTACAGGAAGTGAAGGCAGACACTTAACCAACTGAGCCACCCAGGCACCCCATAAACTTTTTTTCTCAAGATTTATTTATTTTAGAGAGAGAGAGAGAGAGTGAGTGGGTGGAGAGGCAGAAAGAGAGGAAGAGAAGCAGACTATGGCAATGAGCCCGGAGCCCGATGTGGGGCTTGATCCCACGACCCTGAGATCATAACCTGAGCTGAAACCAAGAGTCAGGTGCTTAACCGACTGAGCCATGCAAGCACCCCTAGACATAAACTTAATAGAATAGAATGTAAGCTTACTGCTGCTTAGCCGAATGCTTGGCCCATGGTAGCCACCCAATAAATATCTGAATGACTAGACGAATAGGCAAATATGTGAAAGCACCTTGAAGAACAGCATGTACAATACAGGTTAATGTCCCTCTTTCCAGACTCTAGCCATATTTGCTTTTAGTTTTTCCTTGTTTTAGAGTATAGCTTGAGAACCAAAAAATTTAAACTAAAATTTAAATTTAGTAAGTCTATCCCAATATCTCAAAGCAATATAGTTTATGTGAACTATTTACACAGCCTAAAGGGAACAAAAAATGCTTAGGAAATTACCCCCACTAAGGGATTTCTAAGTTAAGAAAATCTTAATTTTCTATACAGTTGAGTAAAAAGATTATTATTTTCTGAAGACGCCCTGAAATCAGCCTGTTGTCTTACAAGTGTTTCTAGTTGTTGACCAGTTGTTGACCTTCTGTGAGTCCCTAAAAGCCCAGTGCCATTAGAGAAAATCAACCCCAAGGCCACATGGAAATGATACCACTCTATAATTATTAAATGATCCACATGAACTGTCCTAATTTGAAGATTTTTATTTATTTTTTTAAAGATTTTATTTGTTTATTTATTCATCTATTTATTTATTTGATAGGGGAGGGGCAGAGGGAGAGGGAGAGAATCTTTTCTAAAAAAAAGATTGATTTATTTATTTATTTTAGAGAGAGAGCACAAGCAGGAAGGGCAAAGGGAGAGGGAGAGAGAATCTCAGACTCTGTGCTGAGTGTGGAGCCAGACATGGGCTCAATCTCACAACTGTGAGATCACGACCGTGAGATCATGATTTGAGCCGAAACCAAGAGTCAGATGCTAAACCAACTGCACCACCTGGGCACCCCTGAAAATTTTTATTTCTAATTCATTATCATCACATAGTTTGTGAGTCACCAAATCTGTGTGACATAGTGGGAAAACTCTGGACTTGGAATCAGAAGGCCAGGTCTAAATCTGCTTGACAAGGTTATTGTGAAGATTAAATGAAATACTACTACTCACAAAAACATCTATTGAACACCTACTTCATATTGTATATGGAGCTAGATGTGTTACATATATTAGGTAAGTTCTCAAAAAAAAGCATTGTGAAATATGCAGCATTATTCCCACATTACAGACAAGGAAATGGGGGCTCTGGGAGGTGGGAAGAGTGGCCAAGTTTCCACAACCTTTCAAGATGCAGGGCTAGGATGCATGTAAAGGGCTCTCACTAGGATGTATGTAAGCTGGAACTTGCCATAAGAATGTAAGGTGTCTAATTACAAAGTGTCTCTGAAAGAAAGGATCATTTCTATTAATATCGCTTCTCTGGCAGAATGGATCAAACCAACTTAGATCCAGGAGCCAGAAACTCATCTAATCTCAACCACAGACCATCACATGTGCAAGTTGCTTTTCTTTGCTTCCTCATTTATGTTTTCCCAGTTTCCATATTAGTAACTTATATGTGGACTGCACTACCCACATCTCAGGATGTCACGAGGACTCACAGTTTAGAAAACTTGCAAAGATCCACTTTTCAAATCACCCAAATATTCCAAAGAAATTGTTGTGAGTTTTGCTCTTTGAGGTTGCATTTGGGTCAATGTCATGGCAAAGGCAGAGAAAGAGCCTAGGCGTCTGCTTTTCCACCTCCGTGTCTACCACCGTATGATCTCCTGGTGACTTGGTGTTTATGTATGATTTTTTTTCTTATGTATTGTTTCCGGATATAAACTTGATTCAAAATAGTAACTGATACACACACACAAACTCCAAACTGTCACCTTCCTCAGCTAGCTATATAGTTAACTTTTAAGTTGCCTGAGAATAGACAGATCTATGCAAATTAGATATACATTTCAAAACAATCCATTCTTTTTTTTCTTTTTTTTTTTTTTTTTTTTTTTTTTTTTGACAGAAAGAGACAGCGAGAGAGGGAACACAAGCAGGGGGAGTGGGAGAGGGAGAAGCAGGCTTCCCTCTGAGCAGGGAGCCCAATGTGGGGCTTGATCCCGGGACCCTGGGATCATGACCTGAGCCGAAGGCAGATGCTTAACAACTGAGCCACCCAGGAGCCCCAACAATCCATTCTTATTTACCTATTTTTTTATTATGTTATGTTAGTCACCATACATTACATCATTAGTTTTTGATGTAGTGTTCCATGATTCATTGTTTGCTTATAACACCCAGTGCTCCATTCAATACGTGCCCTCTTTAATACCCATCACCAGGCTAACCCATCCTCCCACCACCCTCCCCTCTAGAACCCTCAGTTTGTTTCTCAGAGTCCATAGTCTCTCATGGTTCATCTTATTTCCCTATTTTTTAAAGTAAGCTTTACACCCAATGTGAGACTTGAACTCATGACCTTGAGATCGAGTCACATGCTCTACGGACTGAGCCAACCAGGTGCCCCCAGTCCATTTTTACGTATTGTTTTATAGGTGGTGCAATCTCAGTAGAAAATCCTAAGGGTCTTGGTGTCATTTGTTTAGCCAACAAATATTTATTGGATTGCCACTAAGTGCTAAGCAGGATGCCATGAACTTTAATGAGTGCACTAGACAAGACAAAGCCCATGTCTGCATTCATGGAGTTTGTAATCTAGCAGGTGAGGCCAACATGGGAGCAATAATCACAATACTAGCAGATGTGCCAAGTTCTAGCCAGGTCAGAATGCAGGGAGAGCCTGTCATGGAGACTTTCAGCTGCCTGGCGTTCCAAGCACAGCTTCTTTGAGGACGTTATATTTCAGCTGAGACAGGCTACCATCTGCCCGGGGTTGTGTAACTGTCTTCACGTCCCAACTGTGACACTTGGACATGTTAATGTCTTAGAGCCTGAGTCCTCTTGTGTAAACCGAGCATAATACACACTTGGCAGAGAGGTGAAAATACAAGAGAATACAAGGAAAGCATCTCCTAGGGCATCAGGCATATAGAGTGAGCCCTAAGTGCATGGTGCTTTTCACGATTATCTATCAATGTAAGGCATCAAGGGAAAACTGAAGGAGTTTGCCCAACAGCTAAAGATAAATTTACAGAGGGGAAATTTGGCAAAGACTCCAAATTCGAGAGATAGTCATCACCCCAAACTCAGGCTTTGCATCCTTGAATTTCAGGTGCTGGAGCACCTGATACTTTAAGGCTCTGCCAAGTGCTGTTTTCATGATAAGCTGGTAGGAATTTCTGAAGGTTGATCTCTTTCTAGCTGTGGGTGAGCCCACGCCCAGGTCCGACTTCTCAGGTAAAAGTAGGACATCTGGGAAACATCTCTCTGGTCAGAGGACACACGGTTAATTAAGAGACAAGCAAGTGTTTATAAGCCAGATGAGGCGGAGAGCGATGAACGCCCAGCTGGAGGTTTTAGTTGAGGGTCAGAAGACCCGGCACCACCCAGATGAGGCCTGGAGTGGGAACCGTGCGCAAGGACCTTGTGCTCCGGCGTGGGGATGCCCAGGGCCGGTCCGCGGGCGCTCCCTCTCCAGGGCTCCTGGGCACTTGGCTCCTGGCCAGGTCCACACCCTCCGAGTGGGTGTGGGTGATTCCGTGAGTGGGCGTGACCGGCCCCGAGGGGAAAGAGTGCAGGGAAGTGGGAGCGAGCGGGGGAGGCGGGGCGGCGAGAGAGGGCGCAGTGGGAGGGATGCAGGGCAGGAGTGGGAGGGATGCAGGGCGCAGTGGGAGGGGTGAGGAGCGAGGGAGAAAAGGGCGCTGTGGCGGGGCGGGAGGAAGTGAGCGACGTCTCGGCTCCCGCTGCGAGGCGGCTGGCGGGCGGGCAGGCCAGGTGAGCCCGAGATGCCGCTGCGCTGGAAGCCGGGGCTGCCGCTGCTGCTGCTCCTGGGGCCGCTCGGTCCCTTCTCCCCAGGCGCCCGGGCGGGACCCGCGCAGGCCGAGGACGCCGTGGAGCTGCGCTTCTCCACCGAGCGGCCGGTGCACCTGGTGAGTCCCGCGTTCCTGTCCTTCACCATCGACGCCAACCTGGCCACCGACCCGCGGTTCCTCACCTTCCTGGGGTAAGCGCCGGCCGGCCTGTCCCTGTGTCCTGCCTTCCTGACATCCACGCCCGGGGGGGACCTTTATCTCTCTCCGTCTCTCGGTCTCTGACTCTCCTGCCCTCCCTCCTCTCCTCCCTCCCTCTCCAGAGGCAGCCGCCCCCAAACCGCTCTTTCCCGCCTTCATTCTTTCAGCAAGTGTGGCCTGAGCGCCAACTAAGGGGCCAGGTATTACGGGGAAATTTGGAAAAGAAATTTCCCACCTACCCCAGAAACATGCCTGGAGGAGGGGACCCAGGCAAGTGTGCCTGGAGGTCTATGAGCCCTTGAATTTGCAGCACAGTGTAGGACAGGTAAGATCGTGGACCAGGCTTCCCTCTCTTAAATTCTGTTAAGAAAGTTAAAAAAAAAAAAAAAAAGTTAGAAAAGATCTCAAAGGAAAATAAGTGTGTGTGTATAAAATATAATTTCATATACTTTAAAATAAACTTTTAAAGAGCAGTTTTAGGTTAACAGCAAAGTTAAGCACAAGGTAGAGATTTCCAGCATTAGACTATTTTTTTAAATCTAAATATTAAATAAATGAGACTTAGGAGACCATTGCAGTGACTTACAGAGCCTGAAAAAAAAGATATTTTTCCAACACAAGGCTGCAAAATCAGCCGTAATTTTTTTTCTTGCCTGAGAGAGACAAGCTGGTGCTTGTTCACTGGCTGTTGCCCCATGAGTGCAGGCTGATCCCAGGACAGGGAGCTGCAGGGACAGTCCTAGGTCATCTAGGCCACTTATCTAGGTCATGAGAACCTCCAGAGATGGCCACACCTCAGCCAGTCCAAACAGCTGGGAACCTCCTCATTCCCAGACACCTACATACTCTCCTGCCTACACCCACGCTGTCAGCTGCCATTGCTAATTTTGGTCATTTATTCTGTAAAGAAAAGCAGGTAGCCTAATGGTGAAGAGACTGGCAGTCAGACCACCCAGGCTTGATTCCCAGCTCCGCCAAAGATGGGGGGTTTGGTTGTTATAGGAGGCTTGGCAACTCCAAGCCTCCATTCCTTCACCTGTAGCATAGAACTTCTAAACAGTTTGTAGGGTTGTTATGAGGATTTCATGAGATAATAAATAAGTAGGAAGCAAGTGTTTGACACAGTGTTCAAAATTTAAGCTCATTGCTTTTTCCTGGAAAATGATGACTATTTGCTAACCGTTCACCAGTTCTCTGTGTGTCTCTTTTGATCATAGCTAGCCTCCATCTTTCCCTTTTGCAGGGGAGGAAGAATTGCCTGGTGCAGAGGAAGCCCCACTTTTTGCCCTTCCTCTTGGGGCTGGGAAGCTGATATCACACAGCAGGTGGTTGGGAGAGACGGAAAGATGACTCTGGAGAAACTCTGAACTATGGGCTCAGTATCTGAGGACCCCGGGCCTAGCTTGGGAGATGGGGTGGGGGCATGGGCGGGGGGAAGAGACGGTGTGAGGTGCCCTGCTGAAAACAGAGGCACTAACTGAACCACTTACTGAAATGTGAGAACGCCAGGCCTTTTCTGACGCTGAGGCTACCATGTGCCCCGCCCTTCCCCAAGGAAGGCATCTGGGGATTCTTCCTGGAGAAACAGATCCAAAAGAAAAAACCTACAGCACGACTTTGGGGATCCAGGCCTGATCACCCTGTGGTGGAGCTAACCAGTTGACTAGCACCACCCTCATCCTCCCCACCCCCAACACACACAGAACTTCGTGTCTGCAATTCACAGGGGTGATACTCTGTCTCTTCATTTCCCGTATCTCTTTCTTCCCCGCTGGCCCCCACCCTTTGGTTAAAGGCGGGAGGATAATGAAACCAAAAGAGTTTGTGCAATAGATAAAAGTATTTCTTTGGTTTACAGAACTCAGTGTATCCCTCTTCATACGGGCTTCTCTCCTGGGCTGGCTCCTGACCACTCCAGTCCACTCCCTTGGCAAAGGCTGTCTTCAATGCCTGCTCCCCAGGGGCTTCTGCAAGCACTTGTAGCTATTCCCAGCTGCGACTTACAAGACTGACGCTCGAATAGGCAGGAGCTTCCTCTCGCTGTCTGCTAAGACCTGGCTTCTGATTTAGGGTCTGAGAGTCCACCTCCCCAGGACAGTTAGCACAGTGCCCCAAGGGATCTGCCCATCTCAGATGGCAACACTAAGCTTAATACCTGTGAGATGGGTGTTGTTCTCTTCCAGTTCCTCAAAAGTGAAGATGCTCAGGCAAAGATGGCAAGAGCCGAGCAGATGAAAGCTGAAGGAACAAGGAGAGGGTAATAGAAATAGTTGGTGCTATCTGAGCCTTTGGTATGTTGGGTCCTCTAACTAGCATCTCCTAGGTTTTGATCCATTTAGTCCTTACTACAAAACTATGAGGGCAGGACTATTATTATCTCCATTTAAAAAAAAAATGAAGAGGGATGCCTGGGTGGCTCAGTCGGTTAAGCATCTGCCTTCGGCTCAGGTCATGATCTTGGGATCCTGGGGTCCTGAGATTGAGTCCCGCATCGGGATCCCGCTCATCGGGGATCTTGCCTCTCCCTCTGTCTGCCACTCCCCTGCTTGTGCTCTCTCTCTCTCTGACAAATAAATAAAATCTTTAAAAAAAATAAAAAAATTTTTAAAATTTTAAAAAATGAAGAGTGAGGTTTAGGGAGACTCAGTAAATGACCCCTAGTCAACCAGCTGTTCATGAAGGAGCAGAGTATGAGCCCAGATACTAATTGCAGGTACAAGAATGCACAAAAATAAAGTAAGCAGTATATAGATATAGATTCTTTATTTAAATTCAATTTAGTTAGCATACAGTGTATTACTAGTTTCAGGGGTAGGATTCAGTGATTCATCGGTTGCATACAACACCCAGCGCTCATTCCACCATGTGCTCTCCTTACTGCCCATCACCCAGTTACCCCTTTCCTCTACCCACCTCCCCTCCAGCAACCCTCTGTTTGTTTCCTAGAGTTCAGTGTCTCTTATGATGTGCTTCCTTATTTTCATCTTATGTTATTTTTCCTTCCCTTCCCCTATGTTCATCTGTTTTGTTTCTTAAAAGCCGTTTATATCTTTTAAAGGCAGTAGGGTAGGGTATAGAGGAAAAAGAATGCCCAGAAACAAATTGAGAAGACTGATGTAATGAAAAGAAGGACTGACCCGAGAGTGGGAGAGTCAGGGCCCAGACCTCTGAGCTTCAACAGAGGCCTGAGCACATTTAATCAGGTGGCACGGTTCTGGTTTCCCATGATGGCAAAGAGATGTGGTTTTTCTTTTTTTCACATTTGCAATTAGAGAACGTAGAGTACACAGAACTTAAATGCCAGTGATAGAACATTCTAGAATTGGAAACGAGCATCTTTTCAGTTTGTCTTCTTCCCAGAGGTAACTAATCAACAACCCAATCAAAATTTTCCTATGCCTGACTATGTGCAGAGCTCTGAAGAGGCACTGACCCTCAAAGATGGGGGGAGGGGGTCGAGATCAGCACTGCTCAATAGGAATATAATGTGAGCTTCATGTGCCAGCTACATATGCAATTTAAAATTTCCTAGTAGCCATGTCAAAAAATGGTAAAAGAGGGGTGCCTGGGTGGTTCAATCAGTTAAGCATCCTGACTCTTTTTTTTTTAAGGTTTTATTTATTTATTTGACAGAGAGAGACACAGCGAGAGAGGGAACACAAGCAGGGGGAGTGGGAGAGGGAGAAGCAGGCTCCCCGCAGAGCAGAGAGCCCAATGCGGGGCTTGATCCCAGGACCCTGGGATCATGACCTGAGCCAAAGGCAGACACTTAATGACTGAGCCACCCAGGCGTCCCATAAGCATGCGACTCTTGATTTTGGCTCAGGTCATCATCTCAGGGTCGTGCCGTGGAGCTGCCTCTGGCTCTGCACTGGGCATGGAGCCTGCTTAAGATTCTCTCTTTCCCTCTCCCTCTTGCCCCCACCCCCTGCTCATGCTCTCTCTCTTTCTCTCTCTCAAAAAAAAAAAAAGTAAAAGAAACAGGTGAAGTTGATTTTATTTTATTTTATTTTTTTAAAGATTTTTATTTATTTATTGAGAGAGAGAGAGAATGGTAGAGAGAGAGCATGAGAGGGAGGAAGGTCAGAGGGAGAGGCAGACTCCCCGCCGAGCAGCGAGCCCGATGTGGGACTCAATCCCGGGACTCCAGGATCATGACCTGAGCCGAAGGCAGTCGCTTAACCAACTGAGCCACCCGGGCACCCGAAGTTGATTTTAATAATATATTTCATTTAACATAAAATATCCAAAGTATTATCATTTCAACATGTAATCAATATAAAAATATTAATGAGACATTTTACATTCTTTTTCAAACCAGGTCTTCAAAATCTGGTGTATATTTTATACTCATAGCACATCCCAATTCAGTCTAGCCACATTTCAAGTCCTAGCCACATGTGGCTAGTGGTTACCTTCTCTGCAGTGAGGTCCACACTTCAAACAAAACACATACACAAAGGGGCGCCTGGGTGGCTCAGTCGGTTAAGCAGCTGCCTTGGGCTCAGGTCATGATCCCAGAGTCCTGGGATTGAGCCCCACATCGGGCTCCCTGCTCAGCGGGGAGTCTGCTTCTCCCTCTGCCTCTCCCCACCCCCGCATCCCCCGATCCTTGTGCTCGTGTGCACGCGCGCTTTCTCTCAAATAAATAAATAAAATCTTAAAACCCCCCCCCCAAAAAAAGACACCACACAGCAGGGTTCTCTAATACAGGGTAAAAAACGTAGAGTGCAGAGTCAGTGCTGGAGACCCTAAGTACTCCAGAGCAGACAAGCTGGTACTAAGCAGCAACAGCAGTAATTCTGCAGTTGTGCTTTCTTTTCTTTTCTCTTTTCTTGTCTTTTCTTTTCTCTTTTCTTTTTTTAAGATTTTATTTATTTATTTGAGAGAGAGAGCGCACAAGCAGGGGGAGCAGCAGCGGCAGAGGGAGAAGCAGGCTTCCTTCTGAGCAGGGAGCCCAATGCAGGGCTCGATCCCAGGATCCCGGGATCAT